AGGTTTTGTTTTTTTTGTTTTTGTTCTCTCTTTGCCCTATTTCTCTCGCTTACCTTATCTTCCTCCTCATCTGAACTATGGAACCCCTACCCCTTCTAACAGCTCCCCTCCTCCTCTCTCGCTTACCTTATCTTCCTCCTCTTCTTCCCGTAGCAACACCTCTTCTCCAACCCTTTCCTCAGTAAAACCCATCTCTCTCATCCTGCTGCCAAGATTAAATTTCTCCTTTGGATCTCAATGAGATCCATATGTGTATCTTAGGATTAGGGATTTGCTTTTGTTGTCCATTAATACAGATACTTTGATCTGCCATGAACAAATAGGTAGAGGCAAACTGTTTTAAATATCTGAAAAACAATCGAAATCATGCCCTTCTCAACTGAAATTTAATATTCCAAAAACCACCACAAAAACAGAGCACCGTAAAATTTCGGTATTTAGTGATGGTTATGAGTGTTTGGGTTTGATATTACTGTGGAGGCCGCCGAAATTCCTCAATCAAAATATATATATCTATATATATAGAATTTCAAGCATTGAAGATGAACCCAGAAGAGGATTAGAATTTCAAGGCAGTGAGGCAATAAGCCCCTTCTCTCTCTCTCTCTCTCTCCTCTTCTTCTTTCTCTATTTTTGCTGGAACATTTTTTTTAATAGTAGTAAATTTCTTAAAAAGTAACAAATTCAGACCCAAACTGTGAAAGAGAGAAAAAACCATGAATATATGTTCATCCAAAAGTGATGAATGTAAAAAAAGGAGGGAAACTCATATTTTGAAGAGGGAGGGAGGAAAAAAAATGAACATATATATATATATGTGTATATGAAATTGTTTTCAAATATTGATATGAGTTTGAAATTTTATATGAATCTGATCTTTGAAATTTGAAATTGTTTTCCTTTCAAACCCACTTCGAAAGCTTCATGAGTCTGATCTTGAAGTTTTCAAACCCATTTTGTTTTCAAATATATGTATATATCCCAAAAAAAAAAAGAAAAAAACTTCATGAATGAACCCACTTTGTATTTCAAAAAAAAACATAGATGATGAAGTGAGCCGAAATTGTTTGTATCTTCCTGGAAGTTGTCACACCTCCCATCCATAAATTGTTGGTTTCTACTATTGGAGACCATAACAACATACAACTATTGTCCAGATCTGCAATGTTGGGTTTGAGAGGTTGTTTTGATTAGTACAACTATTATTGGGTTTGAGAGGCTGTCAAGATCTGCCTCTTTGGCGAGGGTTCAAAAATGAGAAAGGGAAAGCAAAAAAAAAAAAGAAAAGAAAAACCTCCAAAACGACATCGTTTTGGAGGGCGGCAGGGAGATGCCGCAGGGGAGTGCAGCCGAGGATCCAGACTCAAAAAAAAAGGGTCTCTCTTATTATTGATCTTTTATATGGATGTGGGATTCATACCATCTATATATGTATGGGTCCCACAACTATATAACAGATTTGATAAAATATTTAGAAAAATGTTTGAGAACTCTATAATATGAGTTCTAAAGAAATTCTAAAGAGTAAGTTCCACTTATTGATGTGATATTTTGGCCTCACAATTTTTTTTTAAATTTTCATATTATTAAAACTCTAAAAGTAAGAAAATGTATAATTACTAAAAAAAAAATCAATAGATTATTTTAGTCATAACACTTTGTTAATAGGCTCGTTTACAGTTAGCCCAACGAACTCAGTGAAGGCGGATTGGGGAGAGAGGGAGAGTGCATGTGTGAGTGTACGCCTTCTTTATCTCCACCAACATTCTTGTCTCCAACTGTACTTTTTCCTTCTTTTTTTATTTATTTTTTTAGTATAATATATATTTATATATTTTAATGGGTCTCACTTTTACAAAATAGATAGACTTTGTTTGGGTTAAACAAAAAAAAGTTAAAACGTTATTAAAAAAGTTAAAAAAAATCTATTTTATTCAAGGGTAGTTTGTAGAAGAAGTCACTAAGATAAAATTATTATTTTGTCCTTTGAATTCAACTACTCAAAAAGTCAAAAAGGTAAAATTGTTATTTTGATTTTATTATAATATTTTGTTACACATCTTTTTGTAAAAAGTCAAAAAGTTATTTCAAACATCTACAGTATATTTTTTTCTCTACTTTTTTAACCAAAAAAAAAGTTATTCACCAAAAAAAAAATGAAAAAGTACACTTGTGTAGCACATACCAAACAACTACATAGTCTTCGTTTAATATTGACTTTTTAGGTGACTTTTTTTAACCTAGTTTGGTTTGGTTTTTTTGTTTTTTTTTTTACTTTTGTGTGAGAAAAAGCATAATGATTATGGTTTAGATTTGACATTTTATCTTGTTGACTTATGTAACTAATTTTGTCTCTTTATGTTTTTTTAGCCAAAAATATAAAACCAAACGAAGCTATAATTTAACACATTAAAACACAACATTAATATTTAAATTAACAAACACTTATACATATCATAGTTCATCTGAGAAGTGTGTTGTCTTTTTAATTTTTGAACTATTTTAGCCCGAGGTTAAAAAATCTCATTTGGAATAAGTTTTTTTGGCTTTTTGACTTTTGTGAGAGAAAAAAATGAAATAATTATAGGTTGGATGTGATATTTTGTCTTATTAGACTAAAAAATTTATTTTATCTTTTTATAACTAAAATAACTCCAAATCGAATCTAACCCAACTCTTCTTTCCAAATGAGTGCTAAATAAATCTCATTTGATTACTTCTTTTTTTTTCGTCATATATCACATATTTTTAATTATATCATTAGAGAACGCTCCAAGGGATCCCATCAACGAAGGGATGCAGAGATGTTTTAAGAGAGGTGGCTTTACTCAAAGAAGGATTCTTTGGTACACCTAGGATAATACTACAATCTAGTTGGGGGAGAGATTTTTCAATGGTGATAGAAGGTTGCTGCTAGTTGTTTGATGTTGAAATGCGGGGAGTTTTTGTTTTTTTTTCTTCTTCTTCCTTCTGTTGTCACTGCAGGAAATATAGAATTTAACGGCGTTTATTTAGCGACGTTTTTATAAACACCACTATTTCTAACCTTTAACAACGTTTTATAAACGTCGCATTTTATTTTGATTAAAACGGTACCGTTTAAGGAATAGAAGTCGTTTTTAAAATGCCTTCACGTGTGTTACAATAATATTCCTCCCCTTCTCTCTGTAGCTCTGTGAGAATCAGAACCCTTCTCTCTCTCTCTCTCTCTCTCTCTCTCTTTCTCTCTCTGCGACCTTATTTTGAATCTGGGAAACATTCAGAGTCAGAGAAACCAATCCCTCAAATCTCACTCACTCACTCGATCGCTCGCTCTCTCTCTAAACCCTTCAGTCTCAGAGATTACGATTCAACCTTCTGCGGCTCGGTTTCATCTCAGACCCAATCTTAAAGTGATTTCGACTTCGAAGTTCTCTCTCTCTCTCTCTCTCTCTCTCTCTCGATTTCGAAGCTCCACCGCCACCACCATCTGCATCGTTGACTAAGGTGAGCACTACCGTCTACAATCTCAATTTCGTTTTCTCTCTCTCTCTCAAGCTCTTCGTTCCGTCAATTCTTCTCCTAGGGTTTACATATGTTTAAGATTTCAGATATGAGTTTTTTCATTCAAAAATATATGTTTGAGATCTGAGATTTCTCAATCAAAAATATGTTTGAGATTTGAAATTTCTTATTCAAAAACATATGTTTCAGATCTGAGATTTTTCATTCAAAAAATATGTTTATGATTTGAAATTTTTTTTCCCATCTGTTTGTATTTTCACTACTTTTTTGATGTCATTGGAGTCAATTTGTTTTTTTTTTCTTTCCCGGTTAAATGTGTTGTATTTTGTATTGCACACTTTTCTTGCCTTGGATTTGTGGTGTTTTGGTTGACTTTGTATTGAGAATGTATTTGAGCGATGTGTGATAATCTATTTTAAATTAATTCTTGTTTTTTCTTTGAACGCAGAGACTATAAATAAAAAATAAAATAAAATAAGAATCTCGTTGTTAAAGTAAAGTTTAGAACTTGAAATTTTTATGTTGAATGTATTTCTTTTTTTAATTTGTATCAGAACTGAGTGCAGAGTTGTTTGTAACGATTAATTTGTTTGTTAGGAGCAATAATCTGCGGAGATTTAGTTTAGAATTTTAATTGACATGGTTTTAATATGAATCAGTTCAGAAAAATACTCTTTTAAGTGGGCTACCTTGTTAGAGACTCTGTATTTACGTGCACGGTAGTTGTGCAAATAATGGGAGCAATATCATGGCTGGTCTTCACAGCATATTGTTTGCCATGATATAACCAAGTAGCTGTTTACTGCAATGCATACTATTACTAGGGAAAGGGACTTTGCAGTGACAATATAAAGGCTACCTTTGTCTTGGGGATCACTAATTGGTTATGGTCATGAGTTCTTGTGACTGCATTGTAGTGTAGTAGGTTCTCCATTGTCTTAGGGATCATACTAGTGTAGGAACTCCATTGTCCCAGCTTTCAATTACTACCTACGAGCAGTTCAAATGGCATGACAGTTGTTTTGTTACCTTTTTAAAAAAATAAAAAATAAAAAATGATTGACGTTAGTTTTTTCTCAAAGATGAGCATTTTAGAATTATATTTGAAATCTAATTTGAAACAGTGATTGGTTATCTAATTAGAAATAGGGAAATCTGACAAGATCGATGCCTGTTAACAATTTCACCGTATTTGCAGCCAATAAAATAAAGTTAATAGCACCATATTTGCTAATAATGGGCATTTGGTACAACTTTCATCCATATTTGGTCTCCATTTTAGGAATGTAACATTAGTTCTTTCATTCTTTTGTCTTGAAACTGAATTTCATTTATATTTCTTAATACTATACCATATCTCAAGGTCTTGTTACAACTTTTAAATGGACTTGTTATTGTGTCTACATCATTTTGGGCCAAGTAAATACCAATGCTGTTTCGAAACTGTGTCAGTGAAAAGATCCAATGGGCTCAATGTGAAGATTGTTTTAAGTCACGCAAAGTTCCTGCCGATGCTTTTCTTTCCTCAAGATGGACCTGTTCTGAAAACTGGTGGGATCTAGAAAGGTAAAATTGGTATCCATTTCTGCTTCTGAATCCTGGACTTTTTGTTCCTATATACAAATTTTTGTTTTTGTTTTTGTTTTTGTTTTGAGCTATGTTGTTGATTGCATTCAAAATGAGCAATGAAGCCAATATATGTTCCTCATCTCATTGAGGGATGTAAATGTGGATACAGGGCAGGTGCTCTTGCTCCCAAATGGTTTTATAGCATCATGTAATGATTGTGCTTTATGTTTCAAGGCTTTGTGATGTGATTCCAAGGGTTGCCACACTGATCTGAATGGTTCGTATGACAGGCTGTAATGCTTGTATCACTTCATGAACTTGTACTTTCTTGAGTGCTCGACTTTCAATATGGTAAAGAATTTCTCTTTATGTAGTAAAGTGGAGATACATTTCTCAATATGAACTTGTACTTTCAATATGAAATTTATATAGATAGATGCATTTATATGTTGCTACATTTATTACTCTCTGTTTGAATTGTTTGGATTGGGGAATGAGAAAATAAAAGAAATGATTGAACTTTCTGTTTTATGTGCTTTGGTGCTTTTGTTTTGATGAATATGAAAGGAGTATGTGATATATTTATTTTTTTCTTTATATTTTAGTGGGTAATCTTTTGTATTAATACTTAATCAATCAGTTTATTTTTCTCCCAATTTTGCTGTTTTTGGTGATAAATGAAATCCATAATTGATCATTTTCTCTCTATTTTTCATGAGAGGAGTTTTTGTTTTTGTTTTTGTTTGTTTGTTTCTTATCAATTTCTCAACAAATCAATCAATTCAAATGAAGACTGTTAATGGGAATATCTATTTCTGTCTCCTCTCTGTCTTACTCTCTCCTCTGATTTGTAAAAGTAAGTCAAGTTCTAAATACTGTATGGTGTTTGATGTGGGTGTGTAGGGACAGGGAAAAACCCACAAAATACACAAAGGACAGTCGCTATTGTGGTGGGAGGAGTGGCTGGTTTTGGGCTTGGAATTGCCTGTTTGTTGTTTCTAAAATCAGCTTTTAAGAAGCGAGAAAACAAGTATGGAGGATGATGATGAGGTTAGTTTCCAACCTTCTACTACTTTGTTTTCTGCTTTTTTTCTCTGTTTTTTTAATTTTCAAAATGAAAATATTCCTCTTGCTATGAAGAATTTATTAAATTTTTTGTTTACAGTTTGGTATTTTTTGTGTGTGTTATGTGTGTGCAGGGTGAGACTACTACTATTATGTGCTTAGCTGCTAAGTTGGAGGGGTGTAATGTAAAAGAGAGAAGTTTTGCTTTTTTGACTCTGTTTTGCATTCAGATATTTCTTCTCCACCTAGTTCCTTTTTCATTAGTTTTCTTTCTTTTAAACCAAACAGCCCTATATGTCTAAAAAAATACACATTTTAGTCATAGTTGGCCTTTTTCTTTTGAATGTACATGCACAGATTGAAATATATATATATATATATCTATTTGTGAATAGTAGCTTTTAGTTGGCATTAAAGGTTTGTTCTCCACTTTTCTACATAAAGAGCAATTATTAGGTAATTAAACACACATGTTCAAGTGAAATTGTGTTGCCAAGTGATAGTCAATAAAAAACCTTCGGTTGGGCTTTCTTGATCTAAGAAAAGGGTTATCAAGATACTTCACGATGTCAATGGAATCATAAAACCATCCAGGTTGGTTCATGAATTCCTCAATTTTAGATTAATGCTACTTGATTGATTGATCTACTGGCAACTAGAAAGTTTTGGTCTCCAAAAATATAATCCAAATGCCTTCATTTTATTTTTTTTTCTTTGTGATTTTAGAAATGAATACAATATAAAGTTCAAAACACCTAGTTTTCGTTTTGTGCTAAAACAGTTTTTGAAATTTTTCTAGAAAGGGGGTTGTTTCTAAAAAAAATTTATGAAAAGATTTTGAAACATGGAGAGAATGATTGCTATCAACCTCTTCCTAATGGGCACAAGCTTTTCTTACATGATATAAGATGGGTAGTTGTACGTGCAGCTGTTGCTATGGGTGAGGAAGGCGATATGGTTGTAAGTCTTTGAGACCCCATTCTGCTTTTCTTACCAGTTAATTTATCAATTCATATTTAGTGCCATAAAATTTGGGGGTAAAAGTCACTCAAAACTAATGGGGATAGAAACACATTGATTTGAGAAAGAGAAAATTAGAATCTGTCAGCTTCAACAGTTCCATTACTTAAATGATAGAAATGAGTTTATTCCTGAACTTTTCAATAGAGATACATAAAGAGTTTTGTTGTTCTAATATGACAACAAACTAAATTCTATTTGTTTCCCAATGTAGCTTTTGGTGACTGTTAAAGAGTTTGGGATGTACGGGAAATGGGAAATGGGAGATTAGATAAATTCTAGAGGTTCTGATATTGAAATTTTGATATTGAGATTCTGATATTGAAATTTTGTTCCAGAGGTTTTGAAGCTTTGGAACTCCACTCGGATTAATGAGCATGTTGAGAAGGGTGATGTTTTCCTTTCATCGTTAATACCTTAATGATTTCATGGAGGGAGAGTCAAGCTACACTCTATACTGGCAACCCTTTCTGAATTTGAACATGCTGAGAAGGGTGATGCTTTGTACGGTAAGTAGCCTCTTTTACATGCTTTCCAGAGTATACTTGTGCATTGTTCATGTTAAGAATTGTAGAACACCTAAACACCTAATCAAGATAGGTGAGATATGAAAAAATAGAGAAAAATAATAAACAAGAGTATAAATCACACCCACTCACAATAATAGGTTCAGTTGAGTAGAGGTTATATATACTTGTATTATTGTCCTTGTGTATGCCAATTAGTTTTGTTGCTGAAATAACTCTCTTCTCTGTTTACTATATCTTTGACAGTCTTTGTTTCCTTATCTTTCTTTCTTTCTCTATGCATTGTGCAGTTATTTATATACATGTCTGTCTATACGTGTGTACGTACCTTTATATAATGATGTATCACTGTGTACTTTCTATAGCTTTTAAAGATTGTGCCTAATTGCTTGTAACACATAAGTAACATTTTATATTTGTCTATTGTTGCTCTTCTGACTAGCCATTTCCTTTTTAAAAAATACCATCATGCTAGAATATTTACTGAAGCAATGACAAATCCATATTGACCTCATTTTTCTTTTTGAATGATTATGATTGTTTTCTCATATTGCTCCCTAAACTTGATTTCCCCTCTTCTGCTTACAGACCCATGATAAAACTTCCAGCTACATTGGTCTGGTACACTGTTTTGCTTGTTAAATGGATGCATGCAAAAATGGCCTCCACAAAGCTTAACAGTTCTGCACCATTGCATGGTGTTGTTCAATTAGCATTGCGCACAAGTACGTTTAACTGCTCTGCAACTCAAAAACATATTGGATACTCACCAGTTGTCTCCTTGGAAGTAAGTTTCTTAGTTGGGTAGTTCATGATTATCTAACCCTGCTCTCCATAATAACAACGATGTTGCTCAAGCTCCATAAGAGATTGGAATTCAAATCTAAGCCGTTGCATATTTTTTAATATTTCACCTTTTTTTGATTTCTTCCTGTTTCACCTTTTTTTAATATTTTTTTGATTAAAATATAATATTAAAAAAAAGGAAAATTTACCCATAAGTCCTAGTTTTTGAAACGTTGAACCATTTAGTCTTAAAAGTTTTCTTATGCTCCATTTAGTCCCATTTTTACATCAACATGATGTGAATGATGTAAATGATCTGATGTTTCATTCTATAATTTCAAAATTTATTGAAATCTGATGAACATTAGATGTTTTCCATCCTATATTTTCAAACATTATTGAAATTTGATGAACATTAGATGTTTGAAATCCAATGTTTGTAACATGGCTCTGATGTTATTAACATTGTATCTGATGTTATTAACATTGTAATGGGACCTTTCAGTCTATAAGAAAACTTTTAGGACTAAACAGTGCATAAGTTATTAATTTGGGATTTATTGGTGCATCCCCTTAAAAAAAATTAGTATGTTTTGAATGAATTTTTAATTTTTTTTATAAAAAAACATAAGGAAAAAAAAAAGGGAATCATTATTTTATATAGATGGTTACTTTTTGACTTCGGAGCTAAAATCAACTCTTCCCAAACAGTGTAGTTTACTTAGAATTTTTCATATCTCACCGGTTGGAGTAAATATCTAAACCTTGATTTTTGGTGAAGGTTGACAAGTGCTTTCTATACATTGTTTATTAACAAGTGCTTTCTATACCTTGTTTATTATTGAGATTATTGTAAAAAGTGTTTTTAAAATGGTAAAAAAGTTCTGAAATATTTTAAAGGAGTGAAAAGTGTTATGAAATTATTAGTGAAAAGGATATTGCGTTTTAAATTGTTTGCCTGTTTATTTTTTTTTATTTTTTCCTTAGAACATTTGTTAACAGAACCCATGATTTTTTAGAACACAAGATTCTCCATGCCCAAATCGTTCTACCACATGCATTTCTAGCCATATAAAATTTATGTCTCGAGATTTTTATCAAATCATTTTGACATATATATGACTAAACATCTTTGTAGTTGTTGAGGTATAGTGGATGTAGTTGGCATTAATTACTCGACCACATATCTAACTTAAATTAAATTTGAATAAAGATATTTTTATTATATATATTTGTGACCTGTTGCTTTAATTTCTATGAATATGTAAGCGATGGGGCAGCTATCTCTGTTTGTCGTGTCGCTTTTTTATTTTTATTTTATCATAATCAAATCTCAGCTCCACATATATATATTTGCTGCTGTTCATGGCTCCACCCACAGGCACATCAGAGCTGCTTTGCTTTCTCTCCTGTGCCCCTCCGTCATCAGGTCCCAACTCTTGCCCAAACTTGATGACTTCAACACACTCATTGACATTCAACAAAAAACCAAAGAGGTGTTTGATTTAGTCATTTTCTTTTTCTTTTTTCACAATGTTGAACTGTTTTTAAGGTACTTGTGTTGCACATTGTTTGTTGTTCAGATGGCATTTTTGTCGTCGCTTAACCAAATTGCAAGTATTGACTGGGAGTCAATGTCTGGGGAATTCATGCCTGAATTCTTTAAGCTGGTGTTGGGAACCCTTTCTCTGCCTATCAACTTTCCCGGAACAAATTACCACTGTGGTTTCCAAGTAAACAACTTATTTCTTAAGTACTTGTTGCTTTTAAGTCAAGTAAACTAATGATATCTAAAGTATCTGATATGTTACAGTTTAATCATCAATTTTTAAAATTTGTGCTTTACTCTAAATTAATAATGGGAGGAGGGATATTTGGCTCTCGGTTGGTTCATTTCAAAACAAACCAACAACTAACATGAAGGCGTAAATTTGGAAGCGATGTTTTACAGTTTTAAATATTTCTGTATGTATGTTTTGTCTAACTGAGATGTCTCACAGGCAAGAAAACATTGTTAGCATGCTGAGACGACTCGTAGAGGAAAGAAGAGCTTGCCAAGAAACCAAACATGACATGCTTGGTCTCCTAATGAATGGGGGTGAAGAAAACAGATATAATCTAACAGATGAAGAGAAAATTGATCAAATGATAGCAATTTTGTATTCTGGATACAAGACTGTTATGTAACCAAGTATTCTTAAATATTAATGGTGTATTTTCATACTCTACTGTTATGTAATATTTGGGGATATGTTATTTTGTGGGTAATGGTGATTGGTGAATGGGAAAGTGAATTAATAATGCATTTGCTATTTGAATGTAAGCTATTATTTCATATTAGTATTATTCAAATTTATTATATGTATTTTTTACTTTAATCACATAAATTAGCACAATTTCAAAAAAAAAAAAAAAGGAGATATCACGGCGTTTTTTTAAAAACGCCACTTAAACCCTAAATATTAACGGTTAGATTTTTAAAAAAGATATGACGGCGTTTAAAAAATGTGGCTAATTATCATAATGATGTCATGATATTACCAAGTAAGACATTTAGCGACGTTTTAAAAACGCCGCCTATACTAATATAACGACGTTTTTAAAACGTCATAAAGTTATAGCGACGGCCGCGTCCTCGGCGCTTGGTGTTAAGCGTCGCAAAAAGAATTAGCGGCGTTTTTGACACTTATAGAGGCGTTTTTTAAACGCCGCTAAAAGCTGAATTTCCTGCAGTGTGTCTTTTCCTTTTGCTTTTAAAATTAAAATTGAAAGGTTGAGGAATTAGTTGCGGATGCGAGCTACAGTAGTAATAGAATGCGAACGTTCTTATGAACCTTTTCTCAATACACTTCACCAACTTGTATCTGAATTTAATTTCATATTTTTAACAAAATTTTCTTGACTAATAAAAAAAATATTGCTATTATTCACTCCGATTACACATGGAGAAGTTGATAATTCACTCAAACATAAACAAAATAAATCTCTTCTCGTCAGTGGCAGAGTTAGGTAATTAAGTTAGATGGGTCACTTATTAATTATAATTTTTTATTTAAAAAAAGTAATAATCAACATCAAGATAATAATAATTTTATGAGCTAAATTTAAGTATAAGAAATTAAAAATCATTATTAATAGGAAAAAATAAATTCTATA